GTAGAGTGAGGTCGGGGGAATGGAACGGTAGGTTTCGAGACAGAGGTCAGGGAGGATTGCGGCGAGCTACAACATGAACCTTAGTCATCGGAACGCTTCGGGGTGGGACAAGCAGGAAAGAAAAGAGGATATTGTATGGGGGGCGGGTGGAAGTGTTGCGTGCAGATGCTAAGAGAAAGCTTTGCAGAAGTGCAGTATTTTGTGACATGCGTAAATGTGTATGTTCATAAGTCCATGGTTAGTTTGGGGGCGAGGTACTACCCGGACTAACCATGGACTTATGAAGGTTTTCTTGGGGTACCCTACCCGTAGCCTTTGGTTAGAGAACCTGACCCACAGGGCAGTGGGATGGTGTAGGGAGTACACGACTCTCTGGGAGCCGGTGACTGCGGGACCAGTCCATACGCCTTTCGGATGCGGCTAACTATCCAGGGTACCCAGATTGCCCTTGAGCCGCTCACTTACCGGTGAGCATCATGGTGGTCAACTCCAATGACTAACTGGGAAAGCCGGTTCGGTTGCGCCGAAGATTTGTGCCATTATGAGCTTCTTAAGCCAAGTGTGGGTGGTTTGGAATCAGGGTTTAACCAACTCCCCTAGACTGACTAACAGTGGTCAGTCAACCCAGTGGAAAGCGCCAGACATTCGCCCTGGCTCTCCCACTTTAGTGTTAACACCTCCGCCACGGGAAAGCAGTGGGTAGGACTTCCTCAGCAAAAGCTATTTGAGACTATCACCTCACGCCAAGTTATATGAAACGAGTAGAGTGAAAAAGAGTACATTACAAAATGTATGCGGATTTGTAAGGTTATCAATTCAGGGTCATAGGCGAGCTTCGGACCCTATGGTCCGAGGTTCGAGCCCGGCCACCTCCCAACTTTGGTGGTAGGCAGCTGTGTTGTCGTCTGGTTCCATACCACATCTAACCTATCGCGGTTCACCACTCCAAATCCTGAGGCTTAGGTTACCGGTTTCCATCACTGAACTGCAGGTCCTCGTGACTATGGGGTTCGCCCCGTCTGTTGTTCATCACACTGTAACATTAAAAATCACTACCTTCATATATAACTATTTCTATATATTCCACACGTAATCTATCATATAGAACAGGCAAATGTGCCTCAACATATGAATAAAATCTAGAATGTGTTTATAGCGTGTTTGGGCATGTTACTTCCCGGTTGTTTTAACCGGGTGAAGAATTACGAGGAAGTCACTATCTTCGGTTCACCGACATGTCCTTCATCGTTTGCACCGAATCAGTTATGTAGTCTTTTAGACCCTTACCTATAGGTTGAGAGACACGTACTTTACCTAATATCACTGTGCGTCCTTTCGTGCCTCAAGTCCATATCAACAGGTGGCATTCATGTAACATTCTTCGTCGTGCAAAAGCCACTGCAAATATGTGATAGCCTTAAAGGATGTGCGCAGTGTCCTTTAACAATCGAAGCTTACTAATCTGAGTTCGTTGTGGAAACGATTTTTCTGCAGAACCGCATAAGACCTAGCTAATAGCTAGTAGCTTAGTCGTGGTATTGACCCAGACGACAGAAGCCAACCACCAAAGTTGTGGATGGGGGTTAGTGGCGGCTTTCGAACCGCGAACCATGGGGTTCATTGCATGCCAATAACACTTACAGTGTAGCTAATCCAGTTCCTCCATTTCAAATGTACCCAACTGCGGAAATATTAAAAAAGCTTAACATACAAAAGCTATCGGAAATGCTTCAGTGCTTTAGCATGAAATGTTTTTGTCATGTCTAACGCCGCCCGAATAGTAGATTTACGAAACACGCAAGTGTCATCATCATACACCGCAATACAGTGAAGCGAACTTCATTAATGGCTACCAAACTCATAATGCATACAAGGTAAGTGTAAATGTGTAAAGATAATAGTGATTGCGCCTGTTGTTACAAAGGGGAAAAAAGCGAACCTCTATGGTCAACAAAACCGAGTACTCAGTCCTAAGATGCATGCCCACTATTTCAAGCATTTTGGTCTGATAGGAATTGACAGCGAGATCGCCACTGCTGTCGGTTTGCTGCCATCACCTTCAATGTCTCCAACTGTCCGGTTACAGTCTTTTGGACCCCTACTCCTACCCCTACCAAACCGCTCACCCCATCCCACCTTGGGTCGTGACAACCTCGTAAACTCTATTACTAACTGACTGCTTAAATTTCGGACACGAGCGCAATCCTTTTTCCTGAGGAGGGGGGACCAAATAGACCATTCCAGGTTGCGTCAGGTCCTCGAGCTACATCACACTCACCGTCCATTACCGATTTCCATGTTTCTTGAACTAAACGGAGCCTCCGACTCAGCTGACCGCCAAGCTCTGATGGGTTCCCTTATTCGAAATCACATACCACTTTTCCAGTGGTCGGGGTTTATAACGAACTAAGTAGGCTGTTCGTCACCAGCACTGGCGTTGGTCAAGAGTGCCGTTTTGCACCGAATCTGTGCACTTTCGTCGTACACTGATTACTGGAAAACGCACTAATTGGTCTCGAAAACACAAATATTAAATGGGCAGCTTGAGAAAAGCTCTACGACATAGAACACAACGATGACCTTGTCTGTCTGTTCGAATGCGTGCGGGGCGCGCCGACAGATTAGCAAATTGTGTTAATTCGTTCGGTATGTACTTTTCCCTTTCAAAGGGCAAAGTACTGCTGAAAGACTGAATGTCGCCTAGTCCAGCTTTGAAACTAATCGATCAGGAATTAGCCTTAGTGCATTGCTTTTCCTGAGACCAATGACAACAGTGCAGCAAAGGGGAACACCTTTGGCGTAAACGCAACCTCTCCCCACTGTATGATCTGCTTCGCTTCGCGGTTTTCAGGCCTTGAACCTGCGAGCAGAAAATATCCATGGACTTGCAGTTTTCGACAATCGATGCTTATGCAGTCTGGCCCAAGTGAGATGGAGCGAACGGGTTAGTAATATGGAGAGAAACTGTCATCGGTTTGAGAGTTTACCTGGGATGAATTTGCTGGGGCAACGACTTCAGATCAGTAGGCTTCGCTGGCAAGGACGCGTATCGTGTATCCCAGCTGTCGTTTGCCGCCTCGCGCTTTATTCACTGTAGCTGCTCCTCGCTGGAGGAAAGTGTAATAGTTTCTGACCAACAATGTAACATACCCAAGATTTACCACCACTTCTGGCTAGCCTGATTCGCATGTATGCGTTCATGCGGTTGCAGGCATCGGTTTTAGGGAGGATTCGCTCCTTACAAGCATGGATTCCACCAGGATCCTCGATATTCTGATGCCGCTTCTGCTATACTTAGCAACCGCGGCTCTAGTATATTATCGTGACTTTTCGCATCTCACGGGAACCTTCTCGGTTCATGGCGTTTTATTTGCTTTGCCTTGCTGGTTTATTTCTGACTCCGACCCCCGGAGGACCTGTCTGCCAATGCTTCTTCGCCATCCCGTATCCCACTCGTATCGCTGCCCTATTGTCGTCCGTCGCCCGCAAAACCTCGTATCGTCTCGAGGTGCGAGAATACCAGCGGAGAGGGATATCTTGTCGCGCATTTTTGTTCACTCCGCTGCGCTGCGAGAGCCCGGAGCACGTTCGCCTTACGCTTCTTCAGTTAGGTCTTCGATCTTCGTTTAAGTCAACATTACCTTCGATGGAGTCACTCCCCTCTGAACGGTGCGTCACTTCAGTGCTACACCTTAGCTTGCTGACCCCTTCGCTTTCCGATACCCTCGAGCATAGCAAGGCTAAACTCCCGGTGTTTTTAAGGGCACAATATATCTTCCCTTAACTAAGTAGTTGTTCCTGGCATCTACTGGGTGATCGAGAACCACGGGATATTGGAGACCGAACCGCTTCCATGGGCTGTTGGGTAGTATCACATCTCTAAAAAAACGCGGAGATCAACAGACAACGTGGAGACGAGGTATGGAGAAATACATAGAGCTATTAGGCAGAGTAGGTGTCTCGCACCTTTCTGGCTGGGATCTGAAAGGCTGTAGCTGTTTGGTTTGAGACACTCAAGGAATCGGCAGCGAACCGACAGCAGCGGAGTTCTTGTTGTCATTTCTTATCAGACCAGAATGCTTGAAGATGTATGTATGTATAGTTGGTTGTGCACTCTGTGCTGGCCATTGAGGTTTACTTTCTTCTCCTTCCTCAAAATCAAACTAATCTCTGTCCATCTTAGACATTACCACCATATTTGTGCGCATTGCGAGTTTCGCAATGAATCAAGATCCTCTCATTCTATTTCGCTGTAAGATGATGATACGGCTCTTATTCTCATGTCTCCTTTAAATCTCATGTGTTCCTGGAACGACGAAAATGAAGGGTTATGGCAACTAGTGATGAGTTAGTGCACCATATAAAAATTAGTAGAACACACGACGACAGACGTGTTACTACCATAGTTGAATGGTGTTGGCCGGATCTAAACG